GCGGGTAGTAGGCGGGGTCGCGATGAATAGCCCACGCCGGAATAATGATCGACTCTCCCTTGCGCACCTGGAACATGTTGCTCACAATGAAATGATGAAGAAGAAAGAAGCAACGTGTCTAAGGCACATTTTTGTGCTGCGACGTTTTAAAAAAATCATCATCATCATCAGCTCACTATACGTCCCCACTGAGGGGCTCGGAGCCTACCCTAAGTTAAGGGTGATTAGGCCATAGTCAACCACGCTGGCCAAGTGCGGGTTGGTTGACTTCACACATATCTTATCTTTAAAAAAATACTTACGATAAAATCTTTGGTGGACTTTTCATTACATTTCCCTAAATTATAATCTTTGACACAGAGCCTGTCCATGGAGACGGCAGGAGGCCACAGTCTCAGCACCTCTGTAAACAACAAGTTTACACGTTTATTATATTAATGTACGAAAAATGTCACAAAACAGTTCTTGTAAATGAGTTGAAGAAAAGAAAACCTCAGTTATAAATATTTGCAATAGTATACTCATGTATTCAGCATACAAAATACAGCTTAGCTTACCTGAAATAACCATATCCAAATACTTGAGTTCATTTACAGCGTCGAAGTCAATTTTTCCGTTGTTTTCGTGGTGTTCCTTTATTTCTTGATGCAGCTTCTCCTGCACCTCTGGGTTGACCGCCAGCTCGTGCAGTGCAAACGACATAACCGTCGACACCGTGTCGAAGCCCCCGATGAAGAATAACAGCACTTGTGCAACTAGGTCATTGTCATTCCACACTGAAACATGAACATTTATTGCTCACAACAGCAGTGTAGCAGTGTCTAATCACTTACTATTTTAGGGATCAAAACATTGGGATGATAATTTGATTGAATCCCTTTGATTGAAGTAATGCGAACAAAATATTAAACGGCCGTTTTACAGATAATAAAAATTACTTTGAAACCAAATGAATAACAATAAGTACTACATAGCATTGTATTGTTTATCTGTAGTAAACAGCGAGCGAGCGCTTACCGTAATCAACGTTCTTTTTTCCAATAGCTGACTCCTCGACGGTGGCGAAGCCCGCGTCTGTGTCTTTACCGTTCTCGTGTTTTAAGTTACCTTTAATAATTTAATAATTAGGAAATTATGAATGAAAGTATAAAATGCCCTAACTATAGCAAGAATATAGGCTTATTCCATTACCAAAGGGCGCAATTTCATTAATCGATACCTCGGTCGTTATACAACATGCTGGGGGGTGTCCCCGCGTACGGGTTGACGACTACAGAAAATTGTCGGTCGACGTAAAGTCCGCGTCATGTGGAGACTCAGTTGAAGAGTACAATGCGCGGTATGGAAAACTATTCACTATCGCCCATTGTATACGGGCGCTAACGACTCATAAAAACGGTTAGTCACCTTTCTTGGCTTCCATTAGTAGGTGGATCATGTCAGGTCTGAAGATATTTCTTTCTTCGCGATCGTTTATTGTATTCAGCACCAAGTCCCTGAAGAAAAACCTTATTTCTTCCGAGAACAGAGTAATCCTAAAAAACTATGACATACAGTATGGTCAAGCTATAAAGATCAATACATAAACGCATACAATAATTGTAAGAAAGATATTTGTGTCATCATCATCATCATCATCTTCTACCATTGTATATATTAGTTTACAAAGTACAACTACACGTGATCATTTTTTAAAATACTCATCTTTGCAATTCTCAGATACCACCGCCATACATTTCACTACGCAATGAAAACATGCTTAATTAGGTAATAGTAGAAGTATTACTTTTATTAGAACATAATGAAAAGTTATATAAATACACAGCAACTTACCTTCGAAACATTTGGCCAAGAAGTAAGAGTAAAGAACTTGAGCAGTTGCATAAAGTTAAAGGCGACAGTTTCCTTGCCCTTTTTGTAGAAGGCGTTGTTTTCTTCGGTATGCGAGTCGATTTTGAGGCCGAAAGCACAAGTGGCAATGACGTCATTAGCGTAGCGAGTCGTCAAGTCCTTGCAGTCTACGTCAATTATATTCTCTACAAAAAAAAAACTCTTTGTCAATACGCAGTATTCAGATTGCCGACATTTGCTGCTAGATTCTAACAAAGTTTTTTACAAATTAAAATAAATTTGATAAAAAATTGCCTACTTCCTGATTTTTTTATCTTCATTCTTAGCGAGTTTATCATCTTGTCGCCAACTTCGACCATGAACGGCACCATCGAACGTATCTTGGAGCTGGTGAAGGCTGGGCTAAGGATTGATCGCATCTGTTTCCATTCTTCGCCTGGAAAAGATAATGCAATTTTTAATCCAAAAAAGTCCAAAAAATCATGTGAGATCTTAATCATTGTCAATGCAGCGCCGCCTGATATAGAACATAAAAAATAATGTTTCATGATAGTTTATATACAGCGCCACCGAGAGACTCTTTACCTACTTTAAATAAGGAGTAAGTATTAATTCTTTACTACTATAGTTGATTGAAGAACATTATTCACTAATACCTTTTAACGAAAACAAGTTTCTTCCGAAGTACGAATCAAGTTTCTCGTCAACAAAATTGCGATGATCCAGAAAGTGTTCGAAGTCTCTAACTGTGACAGCTTTTATGAGATCAATGTCCTTTATTATCACCACAGGATCCAGGAATTGATATTTTCCTACAAATCTAAAACAATGAAATAAAAGATATTTATTAACTTAGGATTATTTCTGGAATCTCATGATCTCAAATCACATTGAGATCGTACCGGGTATCTACAATGACTAACCTAACATAACCAGCTGAAATATCTTGACATTATAATTAATGTCAACAGCCGGAAGAAATGTACGATGTATGTAAGCAAGCTACCTGTCTCTAGAGTCGAGCTTGTACATCCTTTCCATGTTTTGTGCGAAATGGTCCATACGAATGACGATACGTGCCATGTTGCCGAGAATGGGGAGCGGTGTTAGGCTCTTGACACCATACTTGCTGAACCTTGTGTACACGTGCCGCAGGTACACCGCCAGCGCCACCGCCACCGCAGACAGCAACACCAATAGTACCATCACCTGATAATTAACAACCTTTGAATGCATATGCAGCGGATATTTTTTGTCGTGTGCTCATCCTCAAAGAGTGGCAATATGGTGACTGCCATTTTTTTTGTTCGGTCTGCGGTCGTTTTTCTGTCCACCTCTGTTCTTAATAAACATATTATATTTAGTTTTCGGATATTCATCTGTTTATTTTCATTATTTTAATAAAAATTATTTAATTATTTCATTTACCAAATTACCAAGAACACAATAAAATGTAGCCACATTCTTATATCTAATTTGTTAAAAATAATGACAGGGATGAAGAAATATTTTATACACAGACTTTGGTCTCAGAAACCCATGGAAAGTTTGGAGACACGTGTTAATACTCGGATCTTATCGCTCACTTAACGTAATATCATGTTCAATAATATTGATTACAATTGATTTCAAACCACTAATAATTAAGTATGTATGTATGTATGTTTGCGCCGTCTATAATAGCAAGATAAGATTTTATCTCAACACAATATGTGAATGCGAACTTTAAATATATAATTAAACCTCTCAACATTATCTGAGATAACAAAAATATCAAATCATAGAGACGACATTTTTATCAAAAGCAAAAGAAAAAAGTCTTAGCTAAGAAACATCAGAGACTAGTATTGCCAGCGTCGAAGACAGATGTTAGCACGAGATAGATTCACTTAGCCGAAGGCCAACCTCCAACAGTGGAGAGACACATAGAGACGTGTCCATATTCTCATGTCATGATTAGTTGACAAGATTGTCTGCATGTCTGAGCATTTGGTCCCAATTTTGTTTTGGAGATTTTCCTGTAGCGACTCTGACACTAGTACTATTAATGTTATTATCTATTATTATGTTATTATCTTAAGTAATTCTTGTCTCGTCATGCTTTATATTATATAAACAAGTTATTGTTTTTGCCCGAACATTGCCTTTGTTTTGTCTAATTTTTAAAACGAGTCAAACTATGTCACTCCTTGATTCTTTTACATTTTTTAGATAAAGCACAAAAAATAGCAACAGTTTTTAAGTTAAATATAATTTTATTTTAGATTCAATGAAATATAAACAGATAAAAATTGATATCGATTAAGAAAAAGAGGCAAAAGGATTTTTTTATACCATATGTCCATAGACATGCGTACGTAGCACTTTGGCAAATATTCGTTCTAGGAACTAAAAATCTTCAATTTGTTTAAGATTTTTTATATAAAGCTGAGTTTATATAATAAATTGTACAATATGCTTGCGACATGTGAAGGATTTTGTTGCAACTCTAACTCATCTTAAAAGGTACAAAATTAAACATCTTTAAAAAAACATTAAAATAATACTCACTATTGTTTATTAGTTTTGCTAATATTGAAACAATTTATTACTAAATTAAAGCTGTTTTAATGTAAGACACTGTTTTCGTCTGTCTGCAGACGACAAAACTGACCGGCTCAAACACATATCTTACGTATTTATATCTGTACTACATGTATATTGCCTAACATCCAGATAAAACAAAAAAATAATAACAACCAAGATTAAAGTAGTTTACAGATAACGTATGTACATATGTACATTGTAAACTCCGTGTAACATCACTCGATGTAACGACGAACTCCTTAAAACGTTGAAATTTCTCACTCGATATAACGTCGCGCATACTTTATTTATCGTCTTAAATATGGCATTATAAACCATTCAGTAGTACTTTTTAATTTTAAGATCGTGAAATTTATAATAACTGCATCTGCATACATTCTTTCGTTTGCCGTTATATTGATTTATTCCGAGAAATAAGGGCTTTCTGTGACGAACACTAGGCTTATCAAATTGTCATAATTGAAATTTTTCAGTGATTACACAATTTCGAACTGTACATTACCAATTTACCAAATTCTTTATTAATTGTCAAAAAAGAAAAGTATATTAAGAGTCTACAGCAAAAAATATAGTAATAATAAAATAAAATAACTTTACTCCATATAACGTCCACTCTTTATAACGTCGCATATAGCTCGGTACCTTGAGCGACGTTATATGGAGTTTACACTAAATTTGTAATGCTGAGACGAAATTAACTGACACACGGGAATTTGTTTTCGCGCATATATACATTTTTAAATTTGATGTGGTGGTGTAAATACATAAGTTTCATTGACATTGTCTATGATCAGGTGTCATTTTCACCCGAGTGAGAGTGAGAGTTTAATTAACAAATAGCATTTCTATTGATGTAAAAGTTCAACAGTTTTAAGTAAAAATAACAAGTGAACAATAAGTATTAACAATACACAAAGTACTACGTATGACTGGACTGGTGGTAGAATGTATAAGATATGTGGAAGACACATTTAACATTAAATTTATACATAAAGTTTCGTGATAGTTCTAAATCATTGTGCAACATTAACGAGTTCAATCCTTATCTATGTTATATTTAATTTGCTCTGTCATCGTCAGCTTTTATTTGTTTTCATCAAGCCAATGTCTGAAACAAAGCATTATCAGTGGTAGAGGGCAGCAACAACAACATCTGTTGCACGAATGTGACGACTTGCCCGTTGCAACCACCACCACGCAGAAGGCATGAGTCAAGTGCAAGTAATTCCGCGTTTCTTCCGATGAGTGTGCGTGTCGGAGGCCTAATTATAGTCATCTTTTCCTTCCCGCCCTTTTTCTTATGAGGAAACGAAGGGAAAGGGGAAATGGTTTGTGTTTGTTGTGGTGGGAAGAGGGGAAAGAAAGGCAACGCATTTGCAACTGCGGATATATTTGAGCGCAATTCAAGTGGTGACTTTCTTGTTTGCCCTCTTGTACTCTAAAAAACACATAGAAGTCGATCGATATAGCAAGAATATAGTGGTGTAAATTTAGATATATATGAACATACGTGTTTATGTACGCTCCATGATAAAAAATAATTGCAACAACATCGTTAAGGATCTTCCCTAAATAATTATTTTACCGATGAAGTTTTTTGTTACTTTTTGATAAAAGTTTTGTTTTGAAGAACTTAATGTGAACGACCTAATAATGAATCAGTTTTTAAACTTCAACTTCTTAACCTTGATCCTAACATTGAGTTTTCAATTTAACACATTGTTTAGAGAATTGTAGATCCCAAAAAATGCTTCAAAAATGCACTATTTTTCGATTTTAATACTAATCTTTCTGCAAATAAATGTGTTTATTATCAGGATAATTTAATAATAATAATAATATAACTTTATTGCCATAAATAAATTAACAGTTATACATACGTTAGACGGGACATTAACATAGAGATATATTAGAAGGTAATATATGACAGAAAATAAATCATAAGTCCATGTAAATACTTCCGTTAAGTGCACACACTAATGATTTTGTTACCTGACTATCTATGTGCATAATACGTGCAAAGACCTTTAAGAATATTTGAATCGCTTCGATTACGCACCACATTTTTACCCGCGTCGAGACTAACTTTATTAGACTCCGAGCAACCTAAAAACTGCTTGTTAGCCTGACTGGTGGAGGAACCTTATAGCCCACTTTATAACTCGCATCAACAAGTAGTTCGAGGCCCATTATTCTGAAAATTCTGTTTTATGGAATATCGTAATAATTGATCTGTTTAATTCAGATAAATAACTATATTACGAAAAAATAATAATTGAATTATGATCAGTAGTTTTAGATACAAACATACAAACATACTCTACTACGTTATTTTATTAGTATTGATATAAGTGCAGTTGCACACATGGACATGCGTATTGTATGTATGTACGTATGTATGTATGTATGAACGTGAGATCTATAGCATCAGGTCTATATAACAAGTTGGTCCTTCGCTGGCGATGCATTTGCTACGTAAGGACTGGACTTACTTTAAACAATAGTGAAGTTATAAAAGTGATTATACAAAGCAGGAAAAATAATCTTTTGTTTCTCATAAAATATAGTGAATGTTTGCATCTTGTTGAGGTAACAAGTTTGTATTGTTTATAGTTTGAATATATAATCGGCTTGACAGATAAGTTCGTGCCGAAACACACAGAGTTCAACTTATTCCAAGTTTGGTGATTTTTGAAATTATTGAAAATGGTCTTAATCCGAGGGCGAAACCACTTCAGCAAATTTATTTCAGCTACAGCAAAGTCACCATGGACAGTGCATATCTTTATGCCGCTTGTGTGAAATTTTTACCATTTAAAAAAGCAAAAATGTCTATTAAACTCATCATATTTAAAAATCGTAACCAATTTTTTTTTCAAATATGGTTGACAATATCGCTTTTAAAATACATAAATATGTTTTTTCTATAACCGTAAATATTATTTGTCGCGCGTAATTATAAAAAACATAATGTGTTCTTCCAGACTATGTTCTACATCTATGCCAAATTTCAGCGAGTTCAATGCAACGGTTCTGGTTGCATACATCCAAACATGTAAAATATTAGTAAGATATAAAAACTTGTTTATTATAATAAATAAATAAAATTGTCTACGGCTGTAATTGCATGTTGTTGCAATGAACCGCGCAGTAGATGTATAAACATGCTGACAATACGCCATAACTAATAATTAAATATAGTCTGACCTCTAGCTCTAAAAAACTTGACTTCATAACTACGACAAGTCGCAACAACTTTATTTAGACTTGATTTAGTATTTAAAGGATAAATTTTTACTAAGCAGATAATTTACATTTTCCATTATTTTTGATTTTCTAAAAATATATAGTAACGGAAGACTGATAGCTAACCAAACAAGTTGTACATCAACAAATTGAAGTACTTAGTTATATTTTTCAAGGTATTGGTTCGCATGACACACTTGATTTGGTCTAGTGCCAAGAAAGATCTAAAATAAACTGTGATACTATAACTGGGGCGCGTTTTCAAACCATTTACTTTGTTAGCTAAAGCATTTCGTCTTGCAAAGAACATGTCTTTTACGAAGCTGACATTGCGTCCACTTCTTATTTTATCTCTTAATTAGTCGTCAATATTTACTTAAAGTACTCCTAATCATATCTACTCTTTACTACTTTGAGATAGCTTATCAATTTCAGGCGTCGTATTATTAGCGAAGTGACGATGCAATTTGTTTACAACAAAAACGACTTGTCATATTTTTGATAAGCGTCTTTGTGCTTGCTTTTAATCTGGGGGTTGAAGACCTACATTCCTATCTATTGTTTATGTTTTTATTATTACAATTAACTTTTAAAGTTAGGGTGACTTACGTTAAGGGTGGTAACCGAGTACGGTTTATTTTGCTTTACATATATGTTTGAATTTCTCCGTAGATATGTGCAGTTTGCTTTCGATCTTAGAACGTATGTACAAGTCGTGTACGGAACTCCTGCACCTCTGACGCCCTCTTGTGCTTATTTCGACAGATGCTGCTTCTATTGGTGTGGGTGGTGGCCGCGGGGTGCGCGACATGGTTGTACTTCCGTCAAGTGTACTCGCGGTTCAGCCGGTACGGCGTGCGCTCGCTGCGCCCCCTGCCACCCTTCGGCAACATGGCGAGGATCACCATGCGACAGGAGCACTTCTCAGACAGTATTGAAAAGCTCTACGAAGCCTTCCCTGATGATAGGTAGTTTTTTATCTTGAATAAGCCACCACTTGACTTGTCTTATGTAGTTTGGTGCAGAATTCTGTAAGAAAACTGTATTTTTTTTGACAATGGTCTGGGTTTTATTAGTTACTTTGTTTGTGATAATAATATCCTGTGACCGTCATAATATCGTTGTTTTAACAAAGCTGGACACAAACTACCAATTTCTATAGAAACTGTAAGATTAGACATAAGAACAAATGGTGACCGTTTGTTTCATATTTGTTGTTTCCAGGTTTGTGGGCAGATACGAGTTCCTGAACCCAATGGTGATGATCAAAGACATAGAGCTGATAAAGAAGATCGCGGTGCGTGACTTCGAACACTTTCTCGACCACCGTGCCTTCGTCGACGAGCAACTCGACCCGTTCTTTGGACGGAATCTGTTCGCTTTGAAAGGTAACGTGAATGAAAGATTTTGTACTGATGAAAAGATTACATTTTTAACTTCGCTTCATATTATTCCACTTACACTCACAGCCGTGTAGATTTCTCATAGTAAATCTACGCTAAGGGGAACCCTAATGAACGGCAGGAAGTACTACATGGAATAAATAACAGTTGACAATAATTTAAGATAACAATTTAATTATATAGTTGTTATAATTTGTCGATGTATAGAAGATAAACATATTCATAGATCTCAAGTTGCATAAGTGACTCAAGGAAACTATTATAAAGTAATTGCGCATTACACTTAGCCGTGAGACAAAGCGTACATACGAAATAAGCTTAGAGTTAATATGTGCGTAGTAATTGATTTGTGTAAACAGGTCAGGAATGGAAAGACATGCGCTCTACCCTAAGCCCCGCATTCACCAGCTCCAAGATGCGACTCATGGTGCCCTTCATGGTGGAAGTCGGCGAGAAGATGATGGAATCATTGAGAATAAACATGAAAAACTCAAAAAGCAAGTTTAACCTATTGTTAAAGAAACAGATAATTCTTTATTCGACGAAATTCTACAAATATAGAGAGTATATTTTATATTTTAGAGCGCATTCGCACAGACGCTTTTTTACGTTACATTAAAATTCTACGTTGGCGACTCACGAGAGATTTACGCTTTATTAAAAAAATTTTCCCTCGCTCAGTCCTTAAAATGCAACATTGTGTGACAAAAAAGCGTCGCGTTTTAAACGCGTTGCCGAATTAACAGATCCATGGAAAATTCATTTGTGCTATCATTTTAACGCGGCGTAAAAAAGCACCGATGCGAACGCGGACCAAGTCTATCTTGGCAGGTAAAAAGGTAATTTAATATTATTTTAGATAATTCTATCGACGTCGACTGTAAGGACTTGACGACTAGATACGCAAATGACGTCATCGCTTCCTGTGCCTTCGGCCTTAAGGTGGACTCGCACACGAACAGAGACAACGAGTTCTACAAAATGGGCAAAGTCGCTTCCACTTTCGACTTCAATCAGTTGCTCAAGTTTCTGTTGCTCATTTCTTGGCCTAATGTTTCAAAGGTTAATCATACAATTTATAACTACTTGACTTCTATGGATACAATAAACATCAACCAGTTCAACATCACTATCAAAAAGACAAATATATTTCATTTGTTCAGGTTCTTCGCGTGAGCCTGTTCACACCGGCGATAAAGAACTTCTTCCTAAATCTAGTGCTGGGTACGATGAGCGACCGCGAGGCCAAACAGATCGTCAGGCCTGACATGATACACCTGCTGATGGAGGCCAAGAAAGGTAACGAACCACAAGTGTTAAAAATCGTTCCGATTTCTAAACAACGCCATGTATTCTTTTAGTTGCGAAACTTTCGTAAGAAATTTGTGAATCGCCTGCGAATAATGTCAACAAGTTTTTTTAATTGCGAAACTAACTTAATTCAATTCGAAATACAACACTATGAATTTGTATTGTATAGGTCGTTTGACACACGAAGAAAAATCCGCCGCTGACGCAGATGCAGGCTTCGCTACGGTCGAGGAGTCTTCTGTTGGCAAGAAGAATATAGATCGAGGTAAGTTCTTGTTATTTCTAACAAATATAAACATGAATAAACCACTGTATCTTGTTGCAGTGTGGTCGGACACAGACCTAGTGGCGCAGGCTGTGGTGTTCTTCATCGCGGGCTTCGAGGCAATCTCCGCGGCGATGTCGTTCGCGCTGTACGAGATGGCGTTGCACCCCGACGTCCAGGAGCGCCTGCATCGGGAGATCCGCGAGTACGATGACAGGAACAAGGGCGCGATCGACTACACCTCCATACAAAACATGCCCTATCTGGACATGGTCGTGTCTGGTAAGTTATGTAATCAATACAAAACGCTTCTTAAAGTAATTTGGGGGAACGAAAAAGTAACTTATATTTTTGATCTTGAGACTGTATGTTTGTTTATTTCAGAGGTGCTTAGACTGTGGCCACCCGCCTTAGCATTGGACAGACTTTGTGTCAAAGATTACAGCTTAGGAAAAGCAAATAAAGAATGTACTCATGACTACGTAGTAAGTTTTTGTCATGAAAATATAGCATGGGTCGATAGTCATTTTTGTTATGCTTTTTATTATTTTTTAAAACCTCTAATTGACATGTTTAGGTGAATCCAACATTTACATAGTGGACAACATGTTTAAGGTGCGCAAGGGCGAGTCGATCATGATTCCCGCGTGGTCTATCCACCGCGACCCCGCCTACCACGCGCGGCCTTTACAATTCGACCCGGAGCGCTTCTCTGATGAGCGCAGGCACCTCATCAAGCCGTTCACGTACATGCCCTTCGGCCTCGGCCCCAGGAACTGCATCGGTTAGTATTCTTCCTTCATTCGATTCCTACAGATTATATGTATTAAGACATGCCCTAGCTTGTCACTATATAAATTGTATTCTCCAGGTTCCCGGTTCGCGCTTTGCGAGGTTAAGGTTTTGCTGTACCAACTGTTGCTGCAAGTGCAGGTTTCTCCGTGCGAGAAGACCTGCATTCCGGCCAAACTTTCACCGGATACGTTCAACATCAGGATGAAAGGCGGACACTGGCTAAGGTTCACACTCAGGGAGTAAAGAAGAGATTCATTGAGGGATCGATACGAGAGATTAAACAAAGATTTGTGTACATTTTATTTCGTAATAAAAATTTTGTGAAATATATAACTAAAATAAATTATAATAAACAAATATCTAGTGCAGAACATGTAAAAAAGTTGCAGAAGTATTTACAATTTCCAAAATAGATGTCACTTTCTAGAATTTTTTACCTTACTGACATCTCCTGCCCAAAAGCATCTACTTTATTGATTTACTTGTTACTAGATGTCGCTTTTATGCATTTTTCTTTCTTTCACCTTACTGACATCTGTTGTTCAAACAAATCAACTTTATTGTACTGCTTGTTACTAGATGTCGCTGTAATTAGAATATTTCGAATAACCAGTGGTTTAGTGTATAAACGTGAATGAAGATGGCAGTAGTGCTTAAAGCTTTAGGATTTTATGTTCCATTTTGAAGTGATCCAGATATTTTGCGAAAATTGTATAATAAGATGAATAAATTGATGATAGAACGATGTTCCAAAATTGGAAAGCCTTGCTAAAGTCTATAGTGAAACATATTCAAGTTTGTTTATCTTGCATTTGTACAGGCTTGGCGGCAATTATTGTGCCATTTTTCTTATGGTAATAAAATGCTTAAGATGACTGAATAAAATTACTGCATTTACGTGATAGAAGTAGCATGTTCTATTGCTGCGTTGCTCGCGACTACTTCGTCGGGGAAATTATGGATATTATTTATGATGCTCAGTGTTTTTTCAGAAAAGCGCAGTTGTAACAAGTTGTGAAAGTGAACTTGAAAGTTCGGACAGAGAAGGAAATATTCTTATTTATTGTTATCAAAAAGTAAAATTAGAGAACCTAATATTATTTAATTTGAGAAACAGGTATAATACAAATAAAAAGTTGTTTGCCGCTCGCTTGGCGCATTTCACTGCAGTGGAGGTGAAAGGCTAATGAAGTATTTTGAGAGTTTGGGATAAAAATAAACAAAATGTGACATTCATAATTCGTGTATTCGTCATCAACAACATGAAACAATCAGTAAACATAAAACTCTGTTCGATTGCACATTGGTCGGCGTCTGGCTCACTTACACTATGCACAAACAACTATAACACCAGGACATATCCAGGACTAAAAGTAAACAAATAAACTAAACTAAACAAATATAATATACTGGAAACGAAACAGACTTTACGTGAACTTACATATTAATATTATCTATAATATCTTTAAAAGAATATTGTAAAATTGTAGAACAAATAAAATGTAAATATATTATGCAACATATCTTTTCTATGATTAACACAACTTTCAAAAATGGATCTACAATAATCTCTTTGTAGCAGAACTCTTATTTAATTAACAAGTTTAATGAATTTCTCCATTAACCACTCCATAAATGTTAATTTTACATCATGCCTTAGTTTTACGTATATCAGTTACGTTTTGTTTTACAAATACATACATGTAATTCATGGGCTAAGTCCGAGCGCTCATTCTCGTAGTTTGGAAATAAAACAATAGATGAATGTTTGTCAGTCAGTCAGTCAGTGGCAGCTCGTAGTCAGCACACGATACGGTGTAGTTGGAAAGTCATGAATCACGGTAAGTTGTGTCACTGGGTGAATAAACTGGGCTTTTATATGAACACAATTGTGTTGCACATCGCATCCCTGTGACGTACTGTGTGTGGCTAAACCTTTGTATACAATGATTTCACATTTTATGCATCACACCGCTCTACGTGTTCTTCGAATTACTGTAAAAGCGTATTAACTCTATTATTATTATTTTTTTTGTATTTTATTTATTTGAAACAATCATTAAGTCCAAAATAAAGCCGTGTATAAATAATAAATATATTTTTGTGATATTATCGTTATTTGGACTAGATATTAAACATTTTGATTTGCCTGTATATAGCAATGGTATATAAAACTTTATCAAAACACGTTTAGCACATGGCGTGCAGCGTGAGTCTTACATTGAACATATAACATTATTTATAAGACACAGAATTTGTACTGTTTGTGTTTTTTTTTCAAATCCTGTATACAATTGACTTTTTTGGAGCGGGACCTAACTATCGTCATACTTTCGTGTACTGAAATAAATTTGAACTAATAACTATACGTCATTTTATAGCAAATTATAGCACAGCTTGTAAACATTGATTTCATCTGTGTGTGTGTGTGTGTGTGTTCTAATGTTTTATATTTATGTAGGTATATGGAACACTATCCACCTGCGTCATCTTGCACCCGATGAATTTAAAAAAAAGCACAAATACGAAGAATAATTCAATAAAAATGGTTTATGTACTATTTTAGATCACAGCAAATGCCTGAGAGTCATAAACTTAATTCTAAACTTACTCGGTACAATAAGATTGTCGCAAACATAATTTACTTTAACGTGAACCGACTTGTACAACATAATCTTTGGCCTGCAGATCTTTTCTCATGTCATTTAACTTATTGCACATCGCGCCAAACAATAACTTCACATAACATTACATCTTACAACTAACAATTAATTTAACTGTGACAAAGTATTTCATTTATAACTATATAAAAATATATAATAGTATATTATGTATCATGATCATATATCAATCACACAACTTTCATGGAAATTATAAACATAAATTCCAAATTAAGTACAATATAAATTATAAACGAACAATAATTATGGCAACTGGAGCTAACCTAGCCTAGCCTAGCCTAGCCTAGGGATTACTTAACCTCTACCGGAATGTGTAAGTTTATTCGAGCACACGTCCCGACGCGTATGTACTCATACGATACGACACTTATCACTAATGGTAACAACAATGAAACATCAAAAATATTATATCAAAATTTGTAAGATCTAAACAACCTTTAAAAGTTCGAAACACCTCGACGACGCGACTTCATAAAGCCATCGGATAAATACAATAAAAATCATTTAAAAAAATAATATGGACACTTCGGCGGATAATTGACCCTCCCCCTCCTCCCCGCACACAACCAATGCAACCCCAGCGAACCGCACGTCGAGTTTGTCAACATACAACATCGAATCCTTAAACATTTCCATACATATAGCCTTACTGCAATCCAATACCCAATTACTTGAGCGATACATCTACATACGTCCATCAATATGCAATACATGCACATGTTTAAATTGAAAACATCGTTGCTAGGTAATTGAGCTATAACAATACTTGTCACTCCACGCATCTCCTCAGAGACACTCCTACATCATCAGCTTCACCTTCGTTCCCACTGAGCATCATCAGACATTTTATTTAAGCTAAAATTCACAACACAGACTAATGATGTGAGATATCGTGGACGTCGAACTCCGACTTGACTTTGATGAAGTTGGGGTTGTCCGTGTTGAAGTCGGGCCCCTTGTGACCGAACTGGTAGACGAGTCTCGCGGTGGGCACGGATACGAGCACCGCCTGTCGGTAGTGGTAGCGCATGGCGCGGCTGAACTTCTCGAACGTCATGTTGTCGTTCTGTTTCATTGTGCCCCACAGCTTGGCCACCTCGTCCGGCTTCACGAACCTATGGACAAAAAAATTACGTATTTAATATATATGTTTTTATACCTTTTATAATAATATTAAATAGCCTTTATGTTCTTCCAGACTGTATTGTACATCTATACCAAATTTCAATGAGGTCCGTTGAAACATGTAACAAACATCGAACTATCCATGCATCTAAACATTAGCATTTATAATATTAGTTACATATTACTGTAGGTTTTCTTGGTTTTTATGATTTGGATATTCATATTTATTGATAAATATGTACTAATAAGTGAGATATAATTATAAAGAAATCATAGACAAGAAGCAAGTGAACACAAAGCCATACATTACAAAACATGACACGACACGGCACGACGACACGGCACGACACGGCAATCAATGCACTCGTACTTTACTATCAAGTAACAACCCGCTGGCAGTCAACCTCGATAACACAGACAATGTCGGTGTCGCTGCAATGCCAGTGCCAGTGCCAGTGCCACTGTCCAGTGCCAGGTAATCTAACATATTTATAGACTCTATCTACACGGACAGTTATTGCTCAATTTTCAACTGATTACAGAAACAATTTCTTTTGCGTTTTATTTCGCATTCAAGGTTCGACGCAATCGAGGTTGTCCTGACCGATAGAGTCCTTACTGATGTCAATGCAAAAGACATTATTGTAACAATAACAAGTAACACTTTATTATCATTCATTACCTTAAATTAAATATGTTTATCTCCGGCTACTTTACACTTTTTCATATATCACAACTCATCTACAAAGCTGAAATAATAGTTTAATCGTAAATACATCCATAACTATACATCCTACATACCTACATACTTGTTTACTCCGTAATTTGTTAAATATTAGTTAATTAATTAAATAGACTTTAAATATTCTACTTCTATTGTTATATATATCAAATAAAACGCAACAAGGAGGGGTCGGCAGCAACGCTTAGCGCAAATCTTGGAACAACTAATAATATATTCCTTCATATAATTTACCCGTCATTAAATAAATTCTCAGATAGAGTACTTATATAGATGCGCGACGCAAACGTAATGGTAACTGGTATTCAATAATCGTGTCAAGTTCTGATGCAAAATGTCCAGATAATTGTGTCGGAGTCAAGGCGCACTTGTTAGCAACGCAGCGGCGCGGTGGCGGTGCGGTGCGGTGGGGGCGAGCCCAGACAACTCATTCTCAACCAGATTCACAATAATCTGCTCAATATATGCATACTGAGTAATACATTAAGTAGGCCAAGATTTTTGTTTATTAAAAGAACCATTATTGATAAAATATGGAAGGTATCGAACTGGACGAGACGGGAAATCTTCTTACGAGCTGTGCTTTCCACATTTTTCAAATGGATAAGCGTTTAAAAAATACAGAGAATCCGAACTGAATATTTCCTGTCGTGGAATAATTACAAAATATAAAATGTTACGAACATTACACACACATACATTTTAGGAACTAACATTACCTAATATCATGATAGAATAGACAATACGTCTATTAATTTCAAGTTAGATTTTCAAGAAAAACTTCTATCGATATAAACATTTTCTTTATAATCTATAATTCAAGTATATTTACGACACTTATTAGTTTATAATCGAGAACACGTACTTGAGAATTAATAGTTAAATAAATATAGCGTTTAAAGATTGAACAGCGATCGTAAAAGTTTTATGAACATGTTAAGACTGTTGGCCGCGGCTGCAGAGCGCACACATAGCGACATACGCACGTACTCATGAAATATTTGTGTAACTAATTCGGGGATGAAAAGTTTATAACAAGCGAAAAATGAATTAAATTGCTTAAAATGTCATACAATGGGTTCCAAATATGTGTAAAAATTATACACTCCAGATGTGTATTACAGTAATCAGAGTGTGTACACATGTGTAATTAGATCGAGATGATGAAATAAACGATGAATTGTAATCATGGCAAACCGGATTATAAATAAATATTTAGCAGATGATCTTATTACAAGAATTGATAGTTTTCATTGCAGTCCAATGTTACAATTGCACGCAAATAAATAGCGCCAAGTAAAATGGCAAGTAATGAGACAATAAGAATAAAATGTTGCTAATTGCGGGACCACGGCCACGGCCGATGCTATATTTGTCTCGACAATTACACAATTTATAAATTAATTACATCGGATAAATACTTACACAAGTATACATTTTGATAAACAGTAAAGTTCACAAATAAAAGTATACAAATTGTATTAACTATGTAATTTTGTTCTGCTTGGAATTTTGAGTAAGAAAATGTTCTGCAAAATTAAAGTATATGACGAACCACCTAAATGTATTCCATTATCACTTATATTAATTAGTAATTAGTAAGACAATGCAAAATAACATGTATTATTGCCTACTTTATAACATTGAATCAAAACGGTTTCATGTGACGTATAATATTTTCACAGATACATGATAAATTTCACTTGAAGTCTTAAAAGTGTTGATCAGAACTTAATGAAGATGATAATAAAACGTTGTTGCAAGTATCATACATACATATATGTATGTATGTATAAATTGTAGTAAAACCACAGAGAACAAAGAAAGTCAGTAGCCGATCGATGACATCTTTTGTGTACAAAGACCTTAGGCCAGTATTCACGGAGGCCATTACAGTCCTGACCGTTATCTGCACATCGCTGGCAACACTAAAATACAATTTATAACTACACCGGTTTCCACTTTAAAATCTATTCGCATCACTTGCTGGCTAGTGTCGCGTACCATCTCACAAATACCCCGCAAATATTTACAATATATTATAATAACTTTCATCATATATGTGTATCTATTAACATAAAAATTGATTCTTTCCGTATTAATTTTGTACATCATTATTTCCTTTGACACCTGTGACAAAGCGCGGACACAGAGTGTTCCATACACCGAAGCTCTTTAGCTTACAGAGTGACACCTCGCGACGTCCTTTATTATCCCGTAGTAACGACCGCCAGAGGTCGCTGCTCGCCGCTCGCCGCTCGCTGCTCGCTGCTTGCCGCACATGCATAATGCATGCACGTCATTACAACAATAAACACAAGCCTTGTGTCATATCATTATAGAATATTTAATTTAATCTAAAACACATTCAATATAATGTCAATAATTCAATTCAATACAGTTACTTTATAAATTTAAAATTTGAAAGTTTTAATACCGTTATTTTAATATTTGTTAATTTTATGACTGTTATGTTTGATATTTATATGATAATAAATGAAAATAAAACATTGTCCAAGTTAAAAAAATTGGTTTTATCATTTCATATACGATATAAGAGCAGAGCATCGATATTTCCGCGCACTACCAATAAAAGCTTCTTTTGGGCTTTCATTAATTCATATTTCATTGAATCATCTATAAGTATGTAGTAAATAATGTCTAGCCCTTACTTACTCCTACATCGTAGGTAACAAACTGAGATCGTATAAACATATGACATCACATTGTTTGGTACCTCGTTGGCCTCAAGTCCAGGTCGTTCAGCGAGATGTCATGTTCGTATGGACCCTTGATATAATATCGTCGACCTTGCCGCGCTGCTCCGCGGCCGTGGGCCGTGATTCATGGGGATTTGGATGCGCTGCGCGTGCGGCCGCGCCGGCCTTGCCTCGCCGACTATCGCGTATCAGCTGGGCCAAGGGGCACGCGTGTTCTGCATTAACAACGACCTAATGTGCACTCACCTTTATATTCAACATATCGTCCTTTTCAATATGCTCCACTATATTTTTTAAGAACTTAATTTGATACATTAACATACATTTGTTTACGTAATTTTGACATAACCTATTAGGAAAATGTTTCTTGAGATGGAGATACACAAATGTATGTATACAGTATAGTATGGGCCGTGTGCAATTCCTGAACATAACTGAATTATTTCTGTCAGCAATTATAACGACTGATTTAAGATAATTTGTTATTGTCCAAAATGTTTACTGCAGAACATTGTCACAATATTTTACAGTAATACGGAATTAAACAGGATATTCTTATCTTAAACTATACGTATGACTAAGTATTCAAACAATTTTCCAAACAAATCCAGATTACAATAGACACTACGTGAGTTAGCAATAGTACGTGTCGTTAGCGTGAACATTTTGTACACAGGTCGGTGTTGCGAACACGAAAATACAATATGTCCCACTGTTCAAATATAACTTGATAAAAACCTCTACAAGTGGGTCTCTCTAGTTTTACATGTTTGGATGAAAAGTCTTTATCACAGTGAAATGTCATCATATAAATTCGGAAACACCCTGTGTAAAGAAAATGTTTCACTCGCGTTGACATCTCTATATTTGCGGTTGTTTTTCGATAACAAAACGTAGCATTACTTCAAAACCCTATATCATTAACGTTACAGCGGCGATATTTTAAAGAAGCATCAACATGTGCTTCTGAGAGTGTCCAATACTTAAACAACTGAACAAAAACTCTGCTATCTCTGATTTTACAAAAGAAACGTGAAACATTATGTTTTTGAACAAGTGTCACGGCAATGGAAACACACGGGTTTTCGATCTGTCCGTCGATTTAACAGGAGTGTTCATGTCTTATAATGGTATATAGTTTACGCTGTCATATAATAACAAGCAGTGATCTGTCCTGTGAGTGAGTCAACATGACCACCTCGCCATCGAGTTCATACAAAACCTGTTGCATTTGAGTCGAACCTTGCCCCCCTGCCCCCCTCACCACACCCCCTGCACGTCCCTCGCGAAATCAATGACATCGGTGTCAAGATATTTGTTATGCATTTTTAGGGACTGATGAGTGCACCTTTAGTTGAGTAACTGTTTGTTTTAACACATTGTTCTGTTGTTGGCACATTATCTTCGTATCTGCATTTCAATAAAATTTACTTGATATACATTTTTATTTTTGAGTAAAAATGATGTATTTATTCGTAAGTTCGTCTCATATTTTTATATCACCACATTAGGACGTTTTTTGCAACTA